ATTTCACTTGGCAGAGACCGTGGATAATAACAGTTTAAAGAAGATATCTACTGTAAATAACAAATGAGTAAGCTGGACGTTATCATCAACAGATTAGTGGCTAAATGGAAACCAGTACAGATAGAAATTATTTTATTTATTTTGGGGACTAAAATGTTATTGCAGTGGTGACAAATCCCATATTTATTTCAAAAATTAATAAAATTGGTGCTCTATATGGCACAGATCTACTTTACATGTAGGACTTTTATCAAGACATTGATTTTTGATGTACAGTAGCTCATAATAGACTAGTCTAATCTAGACTAAATCTAAAGAGAATTAACATCAGCATAATTCATTTTTTTTATATCAAGTGTTTTAATTTGAAACAGGCTTCAGCCCTATGAGGTTGCAGTAATAGTGAATAGTGGATACTGAATGCAAATCAAACACACATTGTGAACACTACTTGTGCCAGCTTTTTCTCCAGAACTGGGAAAAGAACACATGTTGCAAGTCAGAATTCCATACATGTCATGGGACGTCAACTTTTTATGAGGGATGACATACACGCCTGGCAAACGCTTTGATGCAAAGTCAAGGCTAAAATATACATGACAGGCTGCATGAGTTTGCAGATAAATCCCAACAACAAGTACTTGTCTCAGCTAGGATTTATGAGAAATACTCTCTTGCTCGTTTCTCATGTGTACATGAGAAATAAACATAGCATATGATCAAAAATAGATAAATGAAAGACTATTCATAAGACTGTTTTGCATGAAATAATATTTTTCAGACCTACATCACTGCCTTCATTCACCACTCCATCACTGCACCCTAAGAGTTCTGATTTACAGCCTCAGTGTCTGAGAAAATGCCTGCTTGGTAGCCCAGGGTGTGATCAGGATTCATGTTCTAGGTCAGACATATACATATACCATGCCACCCAGGTTTAGTTTCATGTCAATATTTCATGTTATTTGCTGGTATTGTTGCACAAGGTATCCACAGCTATTTGCAAGTTTTATATCTGTAAATAGAAAATATCACACAGTGTCAAAATTGAGATATTTCCATGTTTCCTCTATTCCCTGACCTCTCAGAGCTTCAATTCTAGCCCATGACTGCTCATACTTGTTTGCTTGTGAGCTAATCTCATTTCAGCTGTTCGGGCCAGCCAAGGGGAGAATTTGAGCAATGGCAGCAAAGCGCAAGAGCCACAGCTGACCACTGTGACGTAAGCTGCACTGACTGGCCTGACCAACACTGCATGCATATACACACTCACACACACACACACACACACATCCTCTCACTCACCTATACCCACATTTCCATGGGGGAATTAACCATCAATGGCTCCTCAGTGTGAATGTGTGTGTATGCATGTGTGCGTGTTAGGGAGTGTATTAGAGTGAAAGATAGAGACAGAGTAACCCTTGCTTGCCAGTTGCAGCTGTAGCTCCTAGCATTTAGAGGACATGTCATTTAAAAATAAGTTCATACACAAGCTTTTAAATATATTAATATATTAAATGTTAAGTAGGGAAAATTATATTATTAGTATGAAAAGTAATTTATTTAAAGATCATATTACAAGTTAGGGATGTTTCATATTAATTTCAGGCTTAGAAATGTTCCAGGAGCATGCTTTGTGCAACATTAAATGTACAATTCAATGCCAAGTACTATTGTGTTTTAGAATGAGATGTTACAAATGTGACTTAAAATTGTGATTTGAATTCAATCCAACCACAAATTTTTATTACCCAGAAAGATAACTGTTCCACTTTGCATATTTCAAAGAATATTTCTTTTTTTTTCCAATTGTATTTCAAAGCTGCTCTGCCCATCCATTAAACCTATCATGGTGCTCTGGATCTCTAACTACATAATGACCTGGTTGCTACACCTCTCTTTCGCCGACCTGCTGACAGCTTTAATTAAGCTGCTCATATCGCTTCTAGCAAAGCCCAGCTCACCCACCACCCACTGCCATTTTACCAGCAATCAAATAACAACTTGGACAACCTGTGCAGGAAAGTCGAACAAAACGTTCTTGTGATTTTCACATGAATAGATTTGATTGCAGAGCTCAACTCTCATTCACAGCTCCGTGCTGCAAAGAACGTCAGCGGGTCACCTGAGCGACTACTGACTGAATCATCCAGGCTACTCAGATGCAGAGTCAAACGCCATTTCAAATCATCATCCACAAAGGTGTCACGTTGGTGGGGTCAAAGAGGATACATGCTTGTCACGACATGGAAATGCTTGCATAACATATCCACTATCCAAGTGCCAAAATTTAGATTTGTTCAGTTCAGTGACGGTTACAAACACTCACAGATTCACACACAAAAACAAAAGCAAGACTTATGAAGTACTAACAGCAGATTTTCATCTCAGACCTTTGTTAGTATGATCACTTTATTCCTGCACACTCTTGAAGAATATTCTCTTTTAGCAGCCTATTCTCACTAACGAGTAGTTTTAGCTACCAGGACATGTTCTGTCAGCTCAGCTCAGTAAACAGTGGGCAGAAATAAGCAAATATCTTTCTTCTCTGTCATGCAGTCACACAGAGTCAGATTATTAAGGTCACAGAGGAGATAAGAATAAAAAGACAGAGGGAGACATGGAGAAAGGGGGATTTGCTGTACTTTCTTCCAGGGGCTTGTGAACCATATGTTCAGCCCTGGGACAAAAAAACACAACACAAGGGGCTCAGCAAGAACCCAATGACACACCAACACACTGACACATGGGAAGCAGGCTGCAAACTGTGTGCGGGGGTCAGACATGTGGAGGAAGTGTGACATTACTAGCAAACTGTCCAGCATTAGAAACAAGGAGCCAATCAGAGTTTGATTGAGAGCTTCACTTCAAAGGTGTGCATCTTCAGCTACAGTATCGCCTAAAAGCAGGACTACTGATTAACTGTCCAATGATGTTAGTTCTCAATATTTTACAATAAGTAAATTAGATATTAATGATGCAACATAATCCAGTTTTAGCTGTCAGAGGATGGAGTTGTAGCTGCATTCTTGACTGAAAAACACAACAGCTTGGAAATGTTCTATGACCACATCCATTTGCTTTTTTGTTAAAGGAAAAGTTTGACATTTGCAGTTGCAGAGAGTTAGATGAGAAGATTTGCATGTCTGTACAGTGAGTATGAAGCTACAACCAACAGCTGATTAGAGGTAGCACAAAGACTTGAAGCACAATGGGGAACTAACTTTTTTACTTTTCAGTTTTTGAACAGAATGAACAGGTGAGATGTAATGTATTAATTAGTGTGCTGGTAGGTGAATTTTGATACCTCTAGACAGTCAGGCTGGCTGTTACCCCATTTCCAGTCTTTGTGCGGAGCTAACTACCTGCTATTTGTAGTTTAATATATAACATACGTGAGACTGGAATCGATCTTCTGATCTAACTCTCTGACAGAAAGAAAATAATCCTATTTTCCAAAATGTCAAATTATTCAATTAATTGCTAAAAGAAATTATATGCATGTACTCCAGCCCAGCTTTGCAACATTTTTTAGTTTTAAAATTAAAAGTATGCCAAGCACATCCAGAAGATTCAGAGGTAAAGTGAAAAACAGAGAGTGAGCACTGAAGCAAGGGAACAATCCCCTGAGATCTCTGTAAGAAAGAAAGAGGTGGATGATGGAGAAAGCACAGGCAGAGAGGGAGGGGGTGAGAGAGAGAGTTTGCCTCCAAGCCTCAGCACAGAGGAGGATCAAAGGTTTGTGCTCTGCATCACAATGGACATCCGGTCACCAATACTGATGAGCCTGGGTGTGTGATGCTCCATTCACAGGGTTTTATATCTTATGGGTAAACAAGTAGTCATTGCATGGAAATCATTGGACTTTCCCCCATGTTATTTGACCACACAGGTATGTGCAGTGTGGAAGTCAAAATCAAAAGTGAGGACTGTAAACTGACAAAAACAAAAGATAAGAAAAAATACATTGACACTATGACCCGTGTTGTGGTCAGATATTACTCTGATCTACTCTAGGTGTACCTGCACATTTATCAGATCTACAGTATTACCACAGTTTCACTATATGCTGCACTCCCTGATATGTTAGTGGATCTTTGAACTATATATTAGTTTATACATTGAAACTAACATTTTCTATAAAAAAACCTGCACCAACAGTTAATTCCGTCCCCACTATCTTTGATGATCTGCACCGATTTTTTTTCTAAGGCTTGTGAGCTAACTGAAAAGTATTTATTTAGTTTTAGGTGCAGCTATGATTTGTGCACACATCTATGACAGTTTCTGTGCAACATAATGCAAACTGACATTCAATTTAAGCTTCTACATACAGTGCACAGCATGAAATGATGACTTTATGCAGCACACTAACTGGGAAGACAGTTTGCCAAACTATCCACTGCATGCCAACAAACATAAATCAACTGTGGGAATGTTTACCAGAACATTGCTGTTTGTGGCAGTTGGGTCTCAAATCAAATGACAGCAAATACTGGCAATTATTTCAAGTTCAGGAATGTTATGTGAGTTGGACAGAAACAGATATATTATTTTACATGACTGTAGTGTTCTGTATTTCAGCCTTGACCTTCTAACCTTTAACATTGCCTGGTTGACAAAGCACGTAAGCTGCTACTATAATAATCAGAGGATTTGTAACAGATTATGTACAGTCATTGCTGTAATACTCTTTATTATGTGATCTAATGTAGATATACTTTGTGAATTTGGGTGTGTTGTACAGTATACACTATTCACTCATCCTCAAAAAATGGGAACCTGCAACCTGTTCTACAAAGACATATCTTCCTAAGTTATGAATCTTTCATGTGGAAGATAAACATAGATCAACATGAACTGTCAAAAGAGCTGTGTTATTCTACTTGAGAGAGAAAGCATACGCTGTTTTTTTGTTTTCATACCTTTCCTTCTCGGTTGACATAAAAACAAGGAAACACTTTACTGTTTAAATAATGAGTTAAAGTCTTACTATCAATGGACAACAATAGCATAAACATTTTTTAATTAAAGACAGAAAAGGTGGTCTAAATTTCACACTGTGTATGATTTAGAATAAATGAACTCTACAAATTAAAAAATAAATAAATAAATACAACTGACAAGTACAATTCTTCATCAGAATGCTTCAGTGTCTACGTGTACTTGGATTAGAACCTACAGATGGGACACAAATTAAAGGAAAAACCTGAAATGCAGATGCATATCCGTGCAACTGAGCTCACTGAATGGTTTGGTGAGTTTGAACATGACAAGAATCAAACGCTACAGCCTTTACAGTCACAAGATCTCAACCCAGTTTGTAAGATCTTGCACTGTGTAAGAATGCTCTCCATCACCATCTGTATAAGACCAAAATATATCAAACCTTTATATTCAAATCATTTAGTGATGTCTGTGACTGTCTCTGATGCTATTTGTTCTTTTCATATGTCTGTCTATATTTGTTTTTCTTTGTATCTGCTGCACCCAGGTCTCTCTTGCAAAAGAGATCTTAATCTCAATGATATTACTTGATTAAATGAAGGTGGTATGTATAAATAAGGGTCTATATTGTGAAGCAATGGTGTTCATCCGTCCAATACAGTTCCACAGACTTGGCAATGAGCACTGAAGCTGTTTTGGAGGCTCGTGGAGGCCTTACTCCATACTAAGACACTTCATGTTGGTTCTTCCTTTCATTTGACACCCATCTGTGTATAATATTTACATGTGTGTAAAATTTACACATTCTGTAATACCTACAGTAATGAAGATTACAGCATTACCTCTCATTAGTGTGTGTTTGTCTATCACAGATGGTTGTAAATCCTCTGATGAAACACTTGTGACCTCCAGTGGGATTCTGTCCCTTTAAATTGAGAGCCTATTAATTGTCAGCAATTATCCTTTGCAAGTGTAGCATCTGTCAGAAGTATCTCTTCTCTTCCCACATGAATAGAAATTCCATAGTGGTAAAGGCTGACTGTGACATTCATTATTTATTGCACAGTAGGGCTTGTACAGTCCAGATTTGCCATCACGGTTCTAAAAAAAAGCATGTCTGCTTTACCAAACTCCTCCCATCTTCCATCCCATGTTTTTGAAGAGCAACATTTCACTTTTGTTGAAACAACAGCTTGCATAATGGAAACTTATAAATTTATAAAGACAGTGCCTTGTCTTGGTTCTAACCATGGAAAAACTAAATAATGAGACATCTGAAAACTAGCTTGTTTGATTACTTTGTGTTTAAAGTGTGCTGTTCTGTAACATTGGGGAACCATTAATAGTTCCCTTGGTGCATTCAAAAGTTTAGTGCAAATTTGAAGAAACAAACAGAAAAAACAGACAAACTAAGGAACTTATAAGGCAACAATTATAAATATATCAAAAATAGTCATTAGAGAACTATCTTTGTTACAAAAAAGGTACAAAAGTTTTGTCCTGTACCAGTGAGAGGGACATATTTTTTAGTTCCTCTACTGATTTCACAGCCTTGTATCCCAGCTGGTGAAGTACTTTTTGACACACAGTCTGCGTGTATTCTACCATGTCATAAGACAGTTTCAAACGCCAGCTCTCTGCATTAGCTGCTGAATCCCTCACTGTACCAAACTTGTGTTTTGCTGAGGGCTCATTGCTGCCTCGAGTGTTTGCATGTATCCAGTCTTCCACATTTTTATCCAAAGGCAGCCCCAGATAGTCATAGATCTCCTTTGTTTTGAGAAGCGGATTCCTAGCCAAATCCTCATAGCGAACCAACATGTATTTTCCTTTAAGCCAGTAGGGATGGTTGAGACCAGTTGAAACAGAACTGAGAAAGTCCTCACAGACAACTGTAAGCTGACTCAAGTCTAGATTATATGGTCTTCGCCCCGTGGCCCTCCAAATACGCCACAGACGATACGTATCCCTGAATGTCTCAATCCGTGATGACAGGATACCACGTGGATCTCTGACGAGTTGAATCACTTTGATATTCAGACGTGGGTCTTCCACCAAAGCACGTAGATCTCCAATCTCTGGCACCCGAACAATTTTGATTGCCACGTGCCGCTTTTCACGGCATGCCTCTGTTGCTAGGGTCATGTTTAGAGTTGCACATTTCTTTACACAGTCCCCTTCCTCCACATTAACATCAGCAGGGCCAAAGGCATCACATACAGGTTGCTGACACAATGCTCGGCTGGCACCACGACGGAACAGTTTATCTGTGGTGTGGTTTGTGGGCGTCGGTTTGATATAGCTCTCCAGGAAATACAGGTCACAACCGTACAGGCTACGCAGGAGGTCTCGACTAGCGCCCAGCATTACACGCCGATCTGCAGCATTGCGACTGTGTGACAGACGTGGAATCAGTGTGGTCTGAACATGATAAAGAGGCTCAAACAGGTAGAATACCTCCTGGTGCTGGTTGAGCAGCTGGCCAACAAAGGAAGAGCCGCTACGGGTGGTGGCCAGGACCAGGATGTGTGTTTTACGTGTGGCATTGATGGAAAAGTAAGGGTAGTCCTCACAGCCTCCACCACCTCCTGTTCCCCTCTCAAAGGGAGGTTCTGTCTCCTGGCTCCCTAGACCACAGTTCTGGGGGCTGGGCAACGGGCACAGCTGGAAAGGCTTGGAGGTGAGTGTCCGGATGGCCGTGTACTGGATGGCAATGGAGGCCAAGGCCAGCAGAATCACTGCCTTCCAGGAACATTGCATGGCTGAACCACTTCATTTAGACACAGCGGTCCATGCCAGGTCCTCCCTGTAAAAAAAGATTTTTTTTGTCTTTTTATTCTTAGAAGTTATTTTATTTGTTGTTTTGTTTTGTTTTCTTTCTATATGTTTTTACCCTAACAAAATTCTACAGGGTCCCTTACTGTCCCAAAATGACAATTGATATTGCATAATTGACGCAATGATGACACACAGTACAGCGGAGAAACAAAAACATACACTAACATCTAACTACACTAACATACCAATTAATAATAAATGGTGGTAAAATTTGTATTGTGATTGATATTAGAATTGAGGGTAAGTCATCAATTGGTTGAGTGTGCGCACTTTACAGGCTATATTTTATTTATGATTCTACGACCACAGGGCAATATTTTCATTCTCTTTGGTGCTTATGTTAAAGGCAGGGTTGAAGATGAACTATATACTGAATAAGAAAAGCGCAGTCCTTAATAAAGTATGAGACACAATCCTTTGACTTAATCATTTAATGTGTCTTCTGTTTCTCCTTCCATTGCTACAGCCTAATTTTTTTGAAAAATAATAAAGAGGAGACTTCTGAGCCCATAACTTTTCATCAACTGACACTGAAAACATGTACAGCAGTATGAGAGCCCAAAAAACAGGTTGCTTCCATATCTAAAAATGGCAATTTTTGCACCAGTGTTTTAAAATAGCTTTTACTTGAAAACCCCAAAGATATAATCATTATCAGCAACACAGAATACTTCACCATATATGCATTGTGCTGTATTCCCCTTGTTTATTGAAGGGGGTGGTGGGGGGGGGGGGGGGGTCTTTGCCAGCCCAGAAAGGTAAACTGTAGTTTAAAGCTTAACTGCCAATGTCATGTCAAGGGGAAATTATGCTGCAAGTGAAGAATTAGATAACCACATAGAAAATCTGTCCTATTCAGGATTTGAATTTTCTTAAAATAATGCTGTAGTACAATGTACTGGGGCCTTGCTGCAGAGAGCTTGTGTTGTGTAAGTAAAAAAAAAAAGGCTCACCATTGTCACTTCAGAAGCCTTGCATGAGACTAGAAGGTCCATAAGAAAGGATGCACCAGGGTGTCTCTTGACTCCAAAGCAGAGTGTGGATGAAGGCTACTTTAAAAATAACATCTGTGAAGGGGAAAAAATATCCCACAATTGTTTCATAAAAGCTGAAAAAAATAAATCTATTTCAGCCCACTGCAAAGAGACTACAGCCTTCTGTTGGAAAAGGAGCTGACAATATTGGTGGTTTGTTTTATGATCTAAAAATACAAAAAACTGATTTAAATCGTCACTGAAAGCAACTCAGACGACTCATGTCTGTACAGAGCATCAGTGCTTTCGTCTCAAATACATGTTGAATGAAAAATACATGAAAAATAAAAAGCCCCACTATACTGCAGCGGGAACAGGTTAAGCTTTTTGACAGAGATTTTCCGCGATGCAGATCCTCACCAATGCTGCGATAAGACAACATAGCACAAATGAACGCAACCCACCCAAGCGCAAGTGTTCCTAAAAATCACTATACAAAACAAAGCCTGTGGTATAAATCATCTAATCTGATAGAGCACAGCGATTTTATGGAGTAAAACCACACTTGTTTCCGTTTATACCTTGTTTGTAGTTGTAGTATTCTCATGATGCGCTGTACGTCCATGAATCACGGCTGCTTTGCTTCCGTCCAAAAAACGTTTTCCACCGTGCGCTTCCTCTCGGGTAGGAGAGAATAAATGCGCCTAACAGACCCGTATTTTCCATATAACGGTGGTGCGAGTCGGTTTAAGTTGAACGATTGGCGTCAGACACAGGGAGAAAAAGAGAAAAAGTGCCGGAGTAAGGTTGAAGCGGTTTGGTTGTTATTAAGTAGGCAGTACTGATCGCGGAAAGCGACAGCCGGGCTCCCCTTAAATGATGCGCAGAAGCTGAGAGTGTGTGAGGTACACAAGGAACGACTGTCTGGACCACCCCAGACCCCTCCCCCTTTCCACCTGCCTCTCTCCCCCTCTCCCCCCGCCCCCTCTGTCTCTCTCTCTCTCTCACTCTCTCTCTCCCTCTCTCCCCCTCTCTCTCACACAAACACACCCACACCCACACCATCCCATCCCCAATGTCTTTCCTGCCACATAACACTGTCACAGACCCCCCCCCCCACACACACACACACACACACCCACAAGCAAGCTCTTTCCACCCAGCCAGTGTAGCAGTAGGCTCACAGTGATTCCATCAACATTTCAGTTTGAATTGTATGCAAATGTTTGTTTGTTTTGCATGAAACTATTACATTTTCCTTTCATGAAAGGAATGGCTTCCTGCAGCTTAATTGTCTTGGTTTATCCTACATGTCTGATTCTCCTTAGAAAAGAGTAGGTCTGCCGGTTTGAAGGATTTTATGGCAGAACATTTCTCTTCTGACTTTGACGTGAACTCATCACATCAGCATTACTGCCTCAGGCTCTGTGATTCTGCAAAGCCCTTTCTCCAGGGCATCTGCAACTGGCTTATTGATAAAGTAGTGGGTGGGCCTATAATGAACATGATCTGAACTGAAAAGCAAGACAAAAAGCTTTAGAAAATACATGAGGAAGAGGAGAGGGATGCACAAATAAGTACACATTTTAATTATTCAATATATGCCAACACACATGAAGACAATCAGGTCTGTATAGCAACGGTGTGTATGTGTTACAACTTATAAACCCTAAAAGGGTGTCAATGTGATTGACTGGTTGTTTTTTTTATAGCACATCTGATTTGTCCTGGGTCCATTTTTTGTCATTGTTGAGTGACAAGTATCTCTCAAATGTCAACATCCCTAGCAAATCCATTACATTTTCAAACTGACTACTTAGGATTGTTGAGTTTTATGAGGGTTTCATTAATCAAAAGGCCAAATAATGTTAAATTGGCCATAAAATGAAAATTCCACGATAACAGTGAAATATATCCAAATTATGATAAGAAACAAAACTAGCAGCTGCATGGGTCTAAATATGCCTTTTTCTCATATTGATTCTTTTACAACAGAGTGTATCTTTTTTGCTCAATCGATTCTCAAGTGGATGTTTTTTCAGACTAAAATCTCCCACCAAAAAGAGATGTAAGAGATGTACTTTGGCTTTGCGAGTCAGGGGAACTGGACCATTTTGAGGAACTTGTGAATCCAGTAGACAGGCTATCAAGATGGAGGACCAAGGGGAATTGGTTCCCTATTTCGCTGGCAGAGGTCACTGAGGTAGTTAAAAAGCTCTGAAGTGGCAATGTGCCAGAGATACAGTGATTCACAAAGAGATGCTGAAAGCTGTGGATGTTGACGAGTTGTCATTGCTGACACGTCACCAATTGCACTTCAGACAGATGTCAAATTAGCTTTTAGACTGGAAAACTTCCAATAAGAACTGACTGTAGATCAATAAACCATGGTGAATGGTTTAGAAATGATGACTTGACCTCAGAATCGGGTTTATTGCCAGGTACGTTTTCACAGAAGAGGAATTTGCCTTGATATAAATTGGTGCTTACAGTACACACGAACATAAATAGAAATATAAATATATAAAAAGTAAGGAGATCAAAAAATGTACAGGTATACAAAAAATACATTAATACTATAATACAATGCTGACAATCTTGATGGACCGCAGCCAGAGGGGAGAGTCTGAAACAAACTGTCAAAGATTTAACTCTTTGATATACAGTGAGCTTCCATAAATGCATTTATAAGTAATTTAATGAATATTTAGATATTTTGCTTTAATAACATAGCAACACCATAATGCAAACTGTAGGTAAAAATTGCATGTAAAAATATCAGCAAAATGTACTCCGGTATCACCGCTGTTCAGGGAACAAATTGTTCTCTTTCTTAAGCTAAATAAAACATATGAGACACATTTAGAGATGCATGATTTTTACAAGACAGGCAACAAAAGGTAAAAGTACTAATTATGCGGAATGGCTCCTACTTTTCCAAGAGTGTTGTCTTAATATATTAATGGTTTATTATAACAAATGCATGTTTTAGCTGGTCAATGTGGAGAAAGAAATTCCTCATTTATATACTCTTTGGCCATTGTAACTATACCAATGCATCCATTCTTTTAAAATTTAAAATATATTTATGTATGTTTTGTATGTAAAAGCTTAATCCACAAAGAAATACATGCTAACTACAACTCACAAATTAATATGGTGAAGTAAAAAGGAAATTGTTTCACTTTAAACCGTAGTGGAGTTGAATTATAAAGTAACAAAATAGGAAAACTCAAGTAACTCAAGTAAAAACACAAACTAATCAATAACATACATAAACTTGTAGAGATCACATGCACTATCATAGGCAATCATTTGTCATTGTAGGTCTTTGATTGCATCTCTCTTTGTCCATGTTTACAGTCACATTTATTTGCCCTGTGAAGTGGCTTGGGTATTGTCTTTACCTGGTAGATGAAAGGCCCCTGGTGGTGCTTATAGCAGTGCCAGAGGGAGGCCAGTAATGCAGCAGCTATACTGCTCTGATTCCATGGCTGTCCCCAGATTGTTGATGTCAATGAACCCAGCATGTGGAAGCCTTGTCAAGGGACTCACTCCCACACTGAAGCTGGGCATCTGCTGCAGTGCGATAGCCTTTCAGCACATTATCACGTAAGGCTATTCTTCTTGAGCCTGCTATAAAAGGATTTGTAATAGATTCATAACACGCCAGGCTAAATAATGTGTGTGTATCAGGGTGCTGGCTTTGTTATTCTCGCCGTCATCTTTATGCCAGTATGTGCATGGGGACAGAAGCTGGGTTTTTTTGTCTGGCATTTTTCATTCACAACCTGGAACTCTGTGCACACAAGGACTTCAAGGGATTGTCTTATTCTTATTTACAAAATAGGAGGAAGCAGAACAGAGAGCATCCCGAAGTATGAAAAACCTGTTTGTTGCTGCTATTGGTATAGCATCTGACAACCATTTTTTTAATTCATCATAACATTCTTTATAGTGTTTGCTGTATTTGGTGTTACTGTAGCAGATTCTCAATGCACTGAAAAAAAGTGGTAAATGCAAAGAGAGGTAGGCTACATCCAACCACACGTTTTGCTAATATCTGTGTTTCTACACACACATTTGTTCAAATATTCTTCTACTGGATAAATGAATTCTACTACAGCTGAGCTTAAATACACATTTTAAACCAGTAAAATAACCTTCAACAATATATGTCTGTCAAAATAGAAAGTAGGCTGTTTACGTTATTGTTTACTGGTTACATTACAAATGTTTATATACACAAGTGGTCTTTTATTGTGGCCAGCCTAAGGCACAACTGTGCAATACTCATGCTGTCTGATCAGCATCTCGATATGCCACACCTGTGAGGTGGATGGATTATCTCGGCAAAGGAAAAGTGCTCACTAACACAGATTCTGACAGATTTGTGAACAATATTTGAGAGAAATAGGTACCATTTACTTACTGTATAATGATCAAGGTAATGCTTCAAAATTAATACAACTAATCACAACAAATGTTTTTATTTCACACTCGGTCACTTAAGTTGACACATCTTTGTCACCTATGACTGGTTCCAGTGAAACAGTAAGTTTCCTGTTTGTTGCCACTATGTCTTTCTGTCTGTTGAAATATTAAATTGTGTACACAAATAGCTATAAATGTTCTGACTAATTTTAACCCACTGCTCCAATAGGTAACTACTTATGAATGCCAACGGATGTCTTCTGTTTCTGGGAACTCTGCTGCACCTCCACCAACTGATCCTACTCAATACCCATCTAATCTGTCTGCCCAAGTAAGGACTGACTTGGTTTGCAGGGGTCCTTGATTTTTAAAAAAATATTTCTGATTGAAATTTGATTTGTATACAGTGTTCTCTTTATTTCCATTGGCCAATTACATTTATTGTATACAGTGGTGATTTGTGTTGTATTGTAGTTTTGAACTTTACATGGGTAGGTTTTTATAATGTGCCGAATTAATGTCTTGATGTAGAGATAATACTGTAAAATATATATATATATATATATATATATATATATATATATATATATATATATATATATATATATACATATACACACATACATACATACATACATACACACACACACACACACACACACACACACACATATATATATATATATATATATATCTTTTGTAGAATCTTTTATCTTTCTACTAGATCAAGAGTAAATGTTAATATTGCAGGAATGTAGCCACCTCTTTATAAACGGTCTATAGGACAAACACAATTAATTACATAAAAAAAAAAAATTTAAGACCGAGAATTCAGACAAAAACAAAGTCAAAGTAAAAATGGCAAGTGCAGTCAGTCAGTTTTACTTTGAGTGTTAAAGTGACCGCAACCCATCATGTTGCTAGAGGTACAAATAAAATGCATAAGGGTTATAATTGCATATGGTAGCTGGTTCTATGAATACTTAACTGTATATCCACTGCGAAGCAGGGCTCCCAAAATTATCCTTCTTAGGATCCCCAGATATACAGCAAGCAAGGACACACAGACTAGATCTCTGTGAACAGGGTATATTTGACACTCAATTCCTGTGCATAACTCCACACAATGTTTTTTTTTAGTTCCCTGTCCATGCGTGTTTCAGGCTGATCTGCCCTCAGCATCTTTTCAGGTGTTCTCACATCACTGTACCTGCACTCAGTGCAAGTGAAAATTATGCCATGGAATTATACCTGGTCAAATAATGAGGTAGTGACATGTATTTGATTCTAAAGAGCAAGGATCATGGTTAGTTTATATGCACAAAGTTTCTAATTTGGATGTTAAATACAAATGGCCTCTACAGAGTGATGACTGCTTGACTGATTGATAAGGTTTGTTACTTTAAATGATTTTCAGTCATACTATCCAATGTAGTGGGGTGTAGAGTTGATTACAATTTCCTTTTTTTC